TAGAAAATATAAAATATTGTAGACGAGAAAATGAAAGCAGTGTAAGTGTTTTAGGAACAAAGCCTATTAGAACTTTCCAATTAAATCTCGACCTTGTAATGGAAACACGTCGATTTGCTCCAAAAGGACCACAAACTCTGCATCCAAGTTGAGAAACACCAAATCTCAAACAAGGGTAGCCGCACAGTTTGCAAGAAACCAAATTCAAAGTTATGCACAACATTAATCCCACAGGATTAACAAAAAATAACTTGTTCATATCAAATCATCATCAGAATCACCACCTAAATTTCGTGGCTTAGCACCACTATCTATCAGGAATAAGGTGGCATGTCCAAAACTAATTACAAGTCCTATTTGGTTTTGAATATTAATAATTATTTCCTGAAATAAATAAAAATCCTTAATTAAATAATTGTACATGTCATAATTATTTAATATTTATTAAAAGACTCTTCTAAGTCAGCTATATATGGAAACAGATGTCAACTTTTTTGTCAGGACGCTACAGTTGATGAACAAGCTGACAAAGTTTCTTTTTGCTCAAATTCCTTTAGTTTTGGTTTCGATCGTCCATCATCTTTGATACGCACATAACAAAGATTGAAACCAACCATTATATTATAAAAAATAAACATAACGATCGTCATGGTTTAGAATAATCCTTAATAGTCCATCCACGATCACATTAAGACTTTCGCAAGATTTAAGTTGATAGGATAAATATTGGCATTGGTTGAGGATGATATGGAGGCCATCTATAGTTTTTCTTAAAGTTCATCTCTTAGTCACATAGCAATTTTTTTTTTTTTTTGGGTTCTTTTTTCTGCTATTGTCTAATATTAGTAGGGAAAAGACAAAATCCCTCCCGAACTATGTCACAAAGGCTAATCCCCCTCGAGTTTCCTTATAAGGCCAAAACTCCCCTTGAATAAGTTTGAAGTCAATGTTCCATGTGTGTTAAAATGACTAAACAACCAAGATTGTTATGGCTATATTTTAAATAGAAAAATACAAAAATTAAATTTACAATTATACTCCAAAAATTCTTAAAATTTTTAAAGTATAAAGATAAAAAGGACTCCAAACTATAATCATATCCTCTTATACTGACTAATCACCTTATCTATTTTTAGTTTTTGTAACTAAAATAATTAGCTTGTATATCCATAAAATGGATATTCTGAAAATTCACAAATTTAAATAAGAGATTTATAACGCTATGAGTTTTCATAATCAGATGCACAAGTTATAAAGATTTGTTGTCAAATAAAGGAGTATTAGCGAAAGATGTAGGGCTTTTCAGATTTGAAAATTAAAACCAACCGAGTAATTACATAATTATTCTTATTAAAGTTGTCAAGAGGGTTATGGTTTCTTAAAAAAGATCCAAGAGGGCATGCGAGATTTGGGCAGAGTTTAGGAGCCTTTGTCTTTAACCATCATCATAATAATAATAATAATAATAATAATAATAATAATAATTATTATTATTATTATTTATTATTATTATTATTATAAATAACAATAACAATAATAATAATAATAATTATTATTATTATTATTTATTATTATTATTATTATTATCATCATCATCATCAGCATCATCTTAAAAGCGCATTGTTGTCATGTTATTCATTCTTTTTTTTTTCCACAAGCAGTCACTATTCCATCGATAGAAGGCTAAATTGTCTATTTGGATATAATTTAGGGGGCTTTTTCTCCTTTTTAGAAACTTCGAAGGGGGATTAGCTTTTGGGACATAACTCAAGTGACTTTTTGTCCTTATCCCATATCAAAAAGTTGATAAATTTACATCTTAGATATGGATAACTTCTCTTACAGAAGGGGAAAAAAAATTGATGGATGACTAGATTTTTGTGTCAACTATTGAAATAATTCCAAACTGTGAATACCACTATTATCTTTTTTCAGTTTTTTTAACTAAAATAATTAGCTCATATATCCATAAAAGGGATATTCAAAAAATTGAAAAATTTAAATATGAGATTTATAACGCTCTGAGTTTTCACAATCAGATGCACAAGTTATAAAGATTTGTTGTCAAATAAAGAAGTATTAGCGAAAGATGTAGGACTTTTCAGATTTGTCAATTAAAACCAACTGAGTAATTACATAATTATTCTTATTAAAGTTGTCAAGAGGGTTATGGTTTCTTAAAAAAGATCCAAGAGGGCATGCGGGATTTGGGCATAGTTTGGGAGCCTTTGTCTTTAACCATAATAATAATAATAATAATAATAATAATAATAATAATAATAATCATTATCATCATCATCATCATCTTAAAAGCGCATTGTTGTCATGTTATTCATTCTTTTTTTTTTTCCACAAGCAGTTACTATTCCATCGATGGAAGGCTAAATTGTCTATTTGGATATAATTTAGGGGGCTTTTTCTCATTTTGAGAAACTTCGAAGGTTGATTAGCCTCTGGGACATTACTGAAGTGACTTTTTGTCCTTATCCCATATCAACAAGTTGATAAATTTACATCTTCGATATGGGTAGTTTCTCTTACAGAATGGGAAAAAAATTGATGGATGACTAGATCTTTGTGTCAACTATTGAAATAATTCCGAACTGTGAATACCACTATTGTTTACACATTGTTTCACATTTGTTGAAGTACGATTGAGGTGAACAGTTTTTTTTTAAACAACGTCAACTGAACGGTAGGTAATCCAACCATCGATTATGTACAATTGTATTCAAAACCATTTTAGTTATCAAAAAAATGGAATGTTTACATAATTTTGTTTGTATTATATTCTTCCCTATGTGTCCTTTCTTCGTCAAATGCCATAGCCACTGCCGTAGCTCTGGTTAAATTGAGGCCGTGTCGATGAAATGCACAACCTCATTTCTTTTTTGGAAAGCCGCAACCTCATTTCTAATTTTTATATGAACTAATTGTTATGAGCCAACTTTTAAAGCATTTTAGACTTAATATCAGTATAACTATTTCTGGATCAAGTTACATCTCTCCTCTACTAGAAAAATCATCCCATATTATTATTTTAGAAGCTACAGATAATTAATTTTCTTGACACGCATACTTATCATTAACAACCACCATCTGATTTTATGGAGAAGTGGCACATATAAATTTTCCAGTACTGGCTAACCGAAAAAGAATAGAGTGATATTGACAACGCATGTAAAGCTTTGGGTAGATCGGCCAATTTTTCCTACAAAGAAACAATTATTGATTATTCTTACCACATTGTTCCTACATAACAATCCAATCTCTATATTCTTTTTTTCACCTATAACCAACGAAATTTACTTCAACAGAGCCAACAAAGATGATTGCTTCTTCATATTCTTGAATCGAATCCAATTGTCTGTTCGACATGTTGCTTTGGAAGATCATTCACGAGAAGAATATCACCACATGAATTGAATATGTAAACCCCGAATATCTAGTTGGAGTTACATGAGATTCCTAACAAAACCCAAAATACCCAGACGAGATTGGTTTTGTGAATAAAACCCAAAAATAAAATAAAATAATAAATTAAACAAGTCCTTCCATGGATATATTAAAGGGTGGGGAATAAAGACCAAATTTAATGTAGAAATTAAATTATTTCATCTGCCATGGCTATTGAAAGATGATGTAAGATGATAAAGAAGTTCCAATTCCCATGATAATAATTAGCTTATTAGAAATGTCATGTGTTATTATTCTTATATATGTACAAATAAATAATAACCTTATCTGCAGATAAAGAGTCATTAAAGGATTTAATTGATGGAATAAGAACACATGGGCATTTTTGAGGTTTCCAGTTTTGTTTGGATTTGATGAAAGTAGATTGTTTAGTAAAAAACTTATACCAGGACCAAAAGATTATTGTATATCTCCATGCCATAATAGTACTTACAATCCTATGTCTCAATCTTCTACATTTTTTTATTTGAGATAACCCAACAAAATAAGGTTTACTGATTACCACACGCATGGGATTTACCTTTACAAATTTTAGTATAACCCAATGTGAGATATATATTTCAATATCTAAAATCCTGGGTACCGATACATAACTACTCTTGTCCCCAAAAAAAAAAACTCACATTGAGTTTTGAGTTATATTTTTTAACTATAAATCTCAAAACTCAATGTAAACTATTTTTTTTTCTTAAAACACGATGATGGTAATTAGGGAACCATTTGAATAGACTTGTACATGAACGAAGTTTCATGTATGCTCCTATAGCCAACTTATAGCTGAATGCAACAGTTAATACAAATGAAAAGTAAACACAGGAGTGAATTTCAAGCAATTCGACCAAAGCCAACTAAATCTGGAATGCAGAAAGATTACCGCATCACTCTTTCTATTATACTGGTTCCATAACACTTCATTCTGACAAACAGATCCATCGAACAACAGCCGACAGGTAAAGAAAAACAACACAAAACTTTTACCCGTTTTGCTGGTCTTACCAGTAGCATATCGATTCTTTACTGGCATGAATATTTCACAAAAACAAGCTGGCACCCGATACTGCAGTTCATGAAAAACAAGTTCTTCAATAGCGGCTACTTCCCCAATTTTCTTAAGGGTTTCCTTATCAGGCTCTTCATCTACTCCAATAGCCATGATGGCTTTTTTCCTCTTAGCTGTCCTTCCAACACTCATGAAACTCACATTAATGTTGCTCTCTCCAACTCGCGTTAAATGTGGGATTCCATATTTCACCTTCCCATCAATGCTGATATTTCAACCCTCTGACAAGGCACTAGCAAATTTAGATTGAATATTGCTAATTTGTACATGGATTGAATCGATTGGGTACTCAAGAGATGAGTCAATAACAACCCTTTCCTCACTAATACGAAGGCCCTTTTGCTTAGCAGTGAAGTCAGCATTTACAAGATTCACAAAAGAGCTGGATATTGGCTCAATGATACCTTAGGTTATCATGGCCCGAAGAAGTCTAGTGTCCAAGTTGTCAAGGTCACGAGCTGACCTATAGACAACCTTCACAGATTGAATGCCACTTCCACCACCGACTAGCTGTGACTGCTAGTCTTCCCAGCTTCTCAGCTAGCACAACGTAAGGAGCCAACTCTGACAACACCGCAGCAGGAACCATAGGGGCATTCACAACTGTCACAGAAAGTTTACCATTCAGTGCTCCCACAACAGCCTTAGCGATTTCAGCTGCAACTCCTTCATGTTCTTCCTTTGTGCTTGCTCCTAGATGTGGAGTAACAATGACATTCTCATGTTGCACCAATTCACTATCTTTCAGTGGGGGCTCCTCAGCGAACACATCAAGCACCGCCCGTGCAACTATTCCATTGTCTAGGGCCCGAACTAATGCATATTCGTCGATGACTCCACCCCTCGCAACATTTACAATGTGGAGTAAGTAGATGTGGCTGGAGTAAGTGGCATGTGAAGCGAGATGAAATCTGCGGCGGAAATTGCTTGATCAAAAGAAACTAGCTCCACCCCGATCGCTCGGGCTCTATCAGCCGGAGCATAAGGGTTGTGTGCAATAACATTCATACCGAGCCCCTTTGCACGCGTTGTGACTTCAGAACCAACTTTACCAAATCCCATAACAACCAATGTCTTTCCGACCGAGGAAACACCAACATATTTGTTACGTTGCCGTTTTCCAGCTTTCATGGAAGTAAACTATTTTCAAACCAATGTAAACTATTTTGTTGGAATAGAAGTAATAGTTTTTAACTAACAAAAATTAAAATTTTTAAAAACTTGGATTGGATAAACATCTTATAATACACATTTGATTTAGGACTAACCATACGTATCTTTCCTGGGTTTAAGATATTTCAGGTTTTATCAAGAAAATCAAATCCCTAAATTTTAGGATTTTTGAAAGTGGTTTAAAAGTTAAATAATATAGGAATTTCTCTTCACCTTCCCATCTTTCTCTCTCACCCCAGGTACGTTCCCATCACGGAAAGATGTCACTGAATTAGAGTTTTGGTCTCTAAGTATTTTTTTTTATATAGATGATTTTAATTAATTAATATTTTAGGTTTGTATACAAAATTTCTAAGGAAGATTGATAACTACATATATATGAACAATTTCATACACCTTTTCATTTTCTAAAGTGGAAAAATAAGATACGTTTAAAATGTATAGAGTGCAGTAGTTTTAAAGAAAACAAATGAACAAATGAAGAATTGGTGAGTTTGGGATATCTGATCGACATGTAGCGGCTATCCACATACTGAAAAGTTACCGTATTTTGAAGGTTAAAAGATATTTTCTGCAAATGCATGATGGAAATATCAGAGTACAGGCACATGTGAGAGGATACCAAGCAAGAAAGAAATATAGAAATATGAATTGGGAGCTCCGGGCATGCTAAGGTTGATTGGGAGACAATTTGCTTGAAGGAGGAACAAGGTGGTTTAGATATTGCTCCATTGGTAGCAACCAATCTGCTCTCATGGTGAAACATATATGGTCTGTTATTTCTGAGGATGATTTCTTGATATGGGTGAAGTGGGTGAAGCAAAATCACTTTAGAAATCAGTCATTTTGGATTATATTAGGACAAATTGCACACTTTTGGCCTCCAAAGTTTTGGGGGGTAGCAAGCTCGAGTCACCATGTATTTTCAATTGGCAAAAATAGTCCCCTGAAATATTTTTCTCATCAATTTTAGTCAATTTAACAGAGATTTTTCAAACTTAACGGGTCAATCCTTCTTTCCGTCTAGTTTATAATTAGTAATTAATTTCCTAAACGGTGGGGCCCAGTATTTGACCCAACAAGAATAATTATTTTTTATTTTTCATTTCTTTTTATTAAAACACAAATGTTGGCGGCGCATTTAAGCGGGGGCGATGAAACTGGAGAACCTAAGGATTAGATTCTCACTAATTTAGCTTATGTAAAGGACTCTTTATTCATCCTACGAATCCATCCATTTTGGTCCTTTATTAAAATCATTGAAGATCTGCTTCCCCTAAGGATTAGATCCATTCCTTCTGAATTATCCATTTGAACACCGTGATTGCATTTCGGATGTATTCTCTGATTTTGGCCAAAAACTTGATGGCCTGAAATCGAACGGGTGTACCGGATTCGTAGGAGAAGGTGGACTCTATCTCCGGTCAGTGATTGGAGATGCTTGTGCATATGTCCACGACCTCGTCTGAATCATCCTCTTCATCGTTATCTTCATAATCAGAATAGATGGAAGGAAGAGAAGTGCTAGAGGATCGAGTGGAAATGGATTCAGGGTCTAAATGGGCTCTGTTCATGGAGAGGATTCGGTAGAATTCCTTCGAAAGTCTTTGGAGGTGAAGGGTGAAAAGGTCCGCGGCGGTGAAGGGTTAGAACAAGAATGGGTTTGAAGAAGAAGAAAATGTTGTGGGCCCCGCTTTTCATGAAATGTTGGAGTGAAAAAAACCCAAAAAAGTAAAATTGAAAAGAAGAAAAGAAAATAATGTTGGGACAAATAGTGGGCCCTATTGTTCCTGAAATTGATAAAAAATTGGAGACTTAACAGGAAAAAAGGTTGATCCGTTAAGTTTAAAAAAACTGTTTGAATTGATAAAAATTGATGACAAAAATATTTCAGCGGACTATATCTGCCAATCGAAAATACATGGTGACTTGAGTTTGCTACCCTTAAACTTTGGGAACCAAAAGTGCGTTTTGTCCATTATATTATCCCTCTTCATGTTCTTGGAGTTGGAGGAAGATTTTGAAGTTACGTCCGAAGGCACGCCAATTTTTTGAATATAAAGGTGGTAATGGTAACAAGTTTCTCTTATGGCTTGATCCTTGGCATCCATTTGGTGTGTTTGGGGAGGTACTACCTCGAGCTATTACAGTTCTAGGAAAGCCAAAGGAGTGTAAATCACAAGAGATGTTATCTGATGAGGGATGAAATTGGCCAAGTCGCAGGGCACTTGAGGTTCGTAGTATTATTTCACAATTACCACCAGTTGATATGACTAGTGAGGTTCGTGTGGTCTAGAAATTGACAGCTAATGGGATGTTTACTACACAGTCGGCGGCCCAAGGACTACAGAATACCCAACAAATACTGGGATGGGCACAACTTCTTCATGCTCCATAAAGGGTCCCAGGAAATAATTTTTCTCTATGGAAAACACTTCCAACAATGGATAAACCATGGCTGCAAAATAGTGGTCAAACATGTTCTCTCTGTGATGTTGGAATTGAATCACATCAACATTTGTTTTTTGGTGGTTCATTTTCAACTAAGTTCATAGCCATTCTCCAGCAAGAAGTCCAATTCAGATGGCCTAAGGTAGCATGGCAGAGAGGTGTAATGTGGGCATCAAGGAGGTGGAGGGTTAAACACTTGGTAAATGCAGCCTATTATTCTTTATTTGCTTCCTTAATTTACTCTTTGTGGCACGAGAGGAATAGTCATAAGTTAAAGAATAAAAAGAATTCAACGAAGTCTTACCTTGATGTATCATTAATATGATGATAGATAGGTTGTGTACTGTGAATGCTAAAGAGTCACTCCAAACTAGAGTAGTTAGTTGTATTTGGAAGATAGCTTGAAATGGTAACTTATCATAGCTGAATTGATGTATTTGTAACACATTCATTTTTTTTTTAATGAAATTAACTTCTTCGAAAAAATAAGAAAGAAATATGAATGGGTCAATTGGAGTACTAGAGAAAGTAATTCTTTGATGGAGAAGGACGGAAAACAGATTCAGAGGATTCAAACCAAAGGCACCAACTGAAGAAGGGCCTCGCATTCAGGAGGCATCATCAAAAGAGGATCAGTTTCTATTGTAAATTAGTTTAACAATCTAAGTTAACTCTAAAATTTAGTGTGTTAATCCTCTATTGCAAATGGGTTTTATAGTAGAATCCCATTTGAACTTATATTTTAGGATTTTTGAAGTACTGGGCTAAGAAAAAGGATCCCAACAAAACTAAAAAACCCAAACTCAAAATTTGGTCCTTCAATGTGCCATTGAGTTTCCATATTGCCACCGTGGAAAAAATGAAAATGGAAATAAGAGATGATGAACAATAGATTAGCGATTTTTGGATTTTCCTCTCCATACTTCTATTTTTTCAATTCAATAAGGCCACGTATGCAGGGATTTGCTATTTTTTTTTTTTTACACTTTCAAATTTATTTCAATCTTTTGGTCATTCAATACGTGGAACTTCATTTCACTAAATTGGATGAACGGTTTATCAAAAAAATAAAATAAAATTGGATGAATGAAGAAGAACCTAACACCGTCGACTTTCTTTGTCCCACCGTTGTTGTGAACTAAAAACAAAACTTAACCAAAATTTAATTAATTGGATGGATACACATACACTAACTTGGATTATAGGAAGAAAACATATATTTGCTGGATACATGAATTTAATGAGCATGTGGTGGTAATATATGTTCGGTTGCAACAATGGCGGACAATCAAATTTTCATCAATAAAAGATTTATGAAAACATCAAAGCATTATCTTTGTTAATTTTAAGTAAATTGTAGAGTGAAGAAATGTTTTTAGGAATAGCCATGTTATTTTTTAATCTCTATTAAAATAAGGAGAAAGAGTTTTCATGTAAGATTATAAATTCGAAACAAACATGATTTTAAGTAGGAGAAAAAGACAGTTATAAGAATATCAAAATAAAAAAAATAGAATAAAAGGTTTTAAAAATGCTATACATAGAAGCTTAAAGTCAATCTTTTTTTCCTTTTCTTTTTCTTTTTTTTGGGTGCAAACATCATAAGCAACATTGTAGGATTAGGTATACAATTCACAAAGATAGGAGGACAATCAAAATCAAAGTATTAGTAAAAAAAGATTTTCTTAAAAAAGATATATCTGTTATTATGATGCATTTTCATCTAATCGACTTGTGTTGAGGAATTTGTATTTGACCAAAATTAACATTATCGATCTCTGCCCTAAAAACAAAAGCCCCGCCCCCCAAAAAAAACACACTAAGGAAATAAAACATAACAAAATAATGCACATAAATTTGTTTAAAAAAAGAAAAGTTTTATGATGGGATGGAAATCTTCATGGAAAATATTTATGAATTGTGTAAAAAAAAAAGAATAAAATTTGGAGATAACAATGTTTCAGAACTGGGGCTCTGGTTTCTTTTATACTTGTAAATTTTGTGAATCTATACGGAGATAAATATGATTTGATTTTAAACATTATGAAATTTCGGTTTCGAATTTAAATAAAAATAAAATTAAGGGGGTAGCGAAGATCATTTTTTATGATTATTCCGGTACAAATATCTCGGAGATTATGGATAATGAATTTGAAATTAGAACTTAAAAAGTGTGAGATTCATTTATCATAGTTTAAAAGTAACCCTAATTAAGTGAAATTAAACATTTACATAAAAACATTGACTACTCTTGATTCATTTACCATCATATTAACAACTATTGATTCATTCGTAATTTTTTTAATTGGCTATCTAGATTATTGTTAAGTGTCCCAAAATCTTTCTCTTTTAATAAAAAGGATGATGATGATGATGAGTTTTTTTATCAAAAAAATGGCCCAGAAATAGGAGAAGAGAGAAATATAGGTCGAATTTTGGAGAAGAGAAAAATACCGACATCGGATTCCTAAAATCCGATTTTTATGGTAAATCGGATTCTCAAAATC